TTTTCCTGGAAAAAATTCGGATCTTAAAATCCCTTGTCGGGCCAAGCGCAACGCGAACTGGACGATAGCTACAGGTTCAGGCCGCTCACTTGACTTGGGCAATTGGGGGCGTTCGGCTCGGGGTATGAGCGCCTATTGCGCCGGGTGCGACACACGACACGCGACACACCAACCTGCGGCTGCACGCGGCCACGCCCAACGCGGGCATGCGCGAGATGATACGTTATATGGCATTGCGCGAGATGCGGGAGGGATCCGCTGACAGTAGGAGTGGAGGAGGGCGGAGCGGGGCGGGGCGAGGCGTACAGCGTTCTATTCATTAGCCTTGAGACCAGCGGCGGCGTGGTGCAAGGAGCCACTTTGCAGGGGATGGAAGGGAAGGGAACCCCACCAGCAGGCAGACGGAGGCATCGGCAATCACTCCGCTATGCAGGTTGACAAGGAGGCGTTGGGCAATCAGCCCCCGTCCCGGCTGCGTACAGGCTCGCCGACAGGCCAGCCAGCGCCAGCGATCGGGTCGCGTTCGACAGTCGTCAGTCGATCTGATCTCGATCTGCCTTGTGCGTTTGTCGGCCGAGCCGGCGGAGCAGTGCCTCCTCCTCCTCCTCCTCCCCCTCCTCCGCCTCCGCCTGCTCCTCCTCCTCCTCCTCCACTCCTCCGCCGAGGTGGCGTCGTGGCGTGCACTACGCGCGAGCTGGCCGGGTGGGGCCGGGACGGGACGGGCAGGTGACCTCCTGAGCTGCCCGGGTCACTTCTCCTTTCACTCGGAGCCAGCCGCCGCTGCTGCTGCCGCTGCACGCCGTGATGCAACATGTTTGGGGCAGCTCTTCCACAGGCGGGGGGTTGACGGGCGGGCTCAACCCCCTCATCGCGCTCCTCTTCCCGGGCAGCCTCCTCGACATTGGGGAGCAAATGAATGAGAATGAAAATGGAGCGGACGGCGCGAAATCGTCGATTGAAAATTTGGTGTTGGACATTGAAGAGATCAGCCATAACGGACAAGTGCTGAACGGTGACGTCCCATCAGATAACAAACATCCATATTGGGCAGCTAGGCAGGATAAAACTTCAGAATGTAAGGTTTGATTCATCGAAAAATTGCGGGTATAACATTTGATATCCTGGATGGTATACGTCGGTATACCTCCCCCCTGGGGGAGGTGCCGGTGGTTTTCTCTCTGGCGGGGCCAGGGGGGGGGGGGTTCAGCTTGACCCATCGTGTGTCCCAGTGCAGTCTTTTTGAAGTGGGGGTGGGCGTTGCAGTATCGTTGTTTAGAAGTGTGGCGCGTCTTCCCCCCCCCCTCCCTTTTTCCACCCTGGCCGCACCCCTCGGCCAGCGCTGAGACAGCATAGTACAGTCGTGTAAGGCGTCGCGCTGACAGCTGACGGCCATAACCTCAAATTTTAAAACTCATGAATACAGTTTTCTTCTCGTGTGGCGCACAAGCCATGGTGTAATGAGCATTGTCAACTTTGAGAGTGTGGTCTCGTCATAATTATCGCCTAGTCAGTGGCTGTGAGATGCTCTGCAGATTCTAAAGTGTACCCAATCCAGTCGTGTTGATCGCCTGTAAGTGCCTGACTAGTTCGTCTCAGTTATTGCCATTCTGATGCCACCGGAGTGACCTCTCTCTTAAACTCTGTTCCCAGAACAAAGCCTCAAAACCTGTGTGAGCCATTGCAAAGTACTGGCTTTCAGAACTGAGTCGCCATCCCCCAGGAAACGTAACATGCCGCGGCCGCGCGGGGTCCGGAGATTTCTGACAAAAGCACGCAAGCGTCATAGGTGGTATGGTGCAAAGAAAATTAACAGGAAACTTACTCAGGCTTCAGTGAACAGTGCATCCTGCAATCAGCATGATTCTGAAGTCGAACCTCTCCAATGGATTGTGAGTTTTGGAGACATACATCATTGCATCCATTGCATATCGTGTGCACTTAAATCTAGTTCCTTTACTCTTCACAGCCTGTAGGTGATTGCACGGGTTCTGCATCCACCCCTGCTCTGCCCGATGATAGCGACAGTGAAGAAGGCTTCAGGGGATTTGACGTAGAGCCGGTTAGTACAAACATATTTAGCCTAATAAAACTGTCGTACTTTTCTCGTCGTACCGTCATCTGCACCCCCCCCCCCCCGGTCCCGCACCCATCTCGCCCGCGCGGCCCCCTCCAGTCCTCGTCGGACGTAAGACGAGAGCGTCAGTAGAAAATAATGCAGGTCATTTGTCGGCTTGCCGGGTGTGACTTGTCGGGTGCGGCGTAAGGCGCGGCACGCGGCACTTTAAAGCGCGCACCGCACCACCAGGCCGCTGGACAAGA